AGAGGTTGTCTTCCCGATATACTTGGAGATACCACCTTCCAGAGTTGTCTTCGTGTACGTAATACTTGACAATATAAGTAGCCCCCCCTGCATTAGACCCTTGTTATTTTTTTCTGACCATGACCATCTTTGTTGTGTTATGTTGTCAGGACGATCCAATGACGAGGAGGTGGCTGCAACAATTACTCCATAGCGTTAATGGAAATCGGGTTGCTTTACAGGCTGGAGGATTTGATCATATGCTGTGAACTGAATTTCATACAAATAGAACTTAAATAAGACTTCCTAGTCTTTGTTGTAGCACTTTAGAATGCATTTATGCTGTAGTCCATTATGTGAATAATCATGAAGATTATTATTATAAGATTAAGAATATTATTGGACCTATATGCAAACCTTTTTTTTTGGTTTCCTACTGTGTCTGTACTCTATTGTCATTGGGGAACGACTAAATCTGACTTTGCGTTGGAAAGTCTCAGAGTGGTAGTAAAGTGCTCTCTAACATGAGTACTTACCGATTCATCATAATTTTTGTTAGTCCTAGCAAATATTTTTGTTGCAAGTATGAAAGCAGTCATCGTTAATGGCATAAATATATGCCAGAAAGACTGCATTTACCGAGTCGACTTCCCCTGTTTAATGAAGTCCTTCATGTTATTAGTGCTCAAATTTTATATTTATAAGTAGTTAAAGTTAATAAAGATGATTTCTTATTTTAATATCACATCTTGCATAATAGTAATATTGAACTGGATCATTCTTTGCATCATAATTTTTTCTTTGTATTTTCTTTTCATATTTACTTTGAAATGCTTTATTTGAGTTGAAAGGGCTATTAGAAATCATCTATACCTTTTTTACGTCAAGGTAAAGTCTGTGTATACATTATCTATTTTAAATTTTATATATGAGATTATATGAAGAAGCAAAGTTGAGCCCTTGTATATTAAAGATCTGTTTGGTTACTGTAAAAGACAATACCTAATTTTACACATTGTTTCGTTTGAAAATAATATAAAAGTTATTCATGTATTAATACAATATTTAATTGATAGGTTTCAAATGTTATATAAAAGCTATTCGTTGTATTTTAATAATTCTACATAATTAATACTTGTATGACTTGTAAAGAAATTTATGTATAATTTATGCTCAATAAGTTATCTTGGTATTAGTTATATATAAATTAAAATAATAAAATTATATATTTAGGTCTATCAATTTACTTTCAATTTTTTTAAAAGATAGGTTGATTTAAATATGCGTCCAACCAATTTTTTTTTTTATATTAGATGTAGATCTAAAATTGAACATGTTCAAAATCTTTTTTTATCATGTGTACTTTTAATTTTTTTTTATACTATTTGTTTAATTTTATATTTTTTAAAGAAAAGTTGGAAGGCTTTTCATCTATAACTTATAAATTTCCATAGTAATGCCTAAATTCTGGAACGTAGCAATTCAATCAGGCATTTGCACTTCTCTGATACAACTCAGTTTTCTTCGCCCGGGAAAAGTACTGTTTTCGCGCGCGCAAGGCGCACCCCACCGGATTTTAACATTCAGAACACATGCAACCGCCGGAAGTTTGCGCGATGGTGACCGACGCAAATAGGTTGCCACCGCCGGAGGAAGAAATTACGAACACGGCGACATCAGTACAGGCAGTGGAAGAGCTATTGAAATATCGATTTAAGAATACGAAGCTTCTAGAAGAAGCTCTTACTCACTCTTCCTGTCCTAATTTAATTACTAATTACCAGCGGCTAGCATTCGTCGGCGACGCCGCTCTTGGCTTAGCTATTTCCAGTTATTTCTTCATGACTTACCCTGATGTTGACTGTGGTAAGCTTACTGACCTTCGTTCTGCCAATGTAAGTACGGAAAAGCTTGCTAGAGTTGCCGTCCGGCATGGCCTCTACGAGTACCTCCGCCGCGATTCGGCAATCCTCGATGAAAAGGTACATAGTAGTATTTAACTTATATGCATTACTTCACATTGTTGTGTAGTTTAAGTTTTGTTGTAGTTTCTCTTCTGTCCAAAAATAGTTGTGGCTTTTGGATTTACTAAAGCCAATTTGACTAATCTTCGAGCTAAATTGGATTGCATTTATTAAATATTTTAAAATTGAAATTTAGATGTTCATAAGATAAACATAAAATACTATAAGTTGCATTTCTTCAAAATGTTGGTCAAAGTGCATATTGTTTATTTAACAATAGAGAAGCTGATAGTGACAAGTTTTCCGAGGCGAACGGAGTAACTATCAAACAAAGAGGTATCTATTAAGCATCTAATAGAGAGTGTACACAAGTAAACATTTAATAAAAATTAAGACAAATCCACTTAGTGATGCCACTGGTCACATATTGACCTCTGCCTCATATGTTAATGTTAAAAAATTGGGTAAAAACATAAATGAACCCTCGAGAATAGGGTGTAAAGGAATGCCTGTAAAGTTAAAGCATGTAATAGGCTTTTCTGGATAAGTTTGGGAGGGTAATTTGTGTGTTTTTCCTTCAAATATTAAATACATGAAGGAAGGGAAATGACAATTTTACCTTTTGAGATCATAAAAAGAAGGGTAGGCATGCCATCCCTTTTACTCTTTAAGGTCTTTAAAAATGTATATATAACTAGATGGATGCTCAAAGTACAGTTTGATCATCTAAGTTGTGGAGGACTCCTCCACGATAGAGAGTAACTAGCTTTGTAAAAGTAAACAAAGTAGAAAATATGAACTCGGGAGAACTCCTCCCAATTACTATATGGATTGCTCATATAAGCAAGTTCCCAAAAATTACGAAATGTATTAATCTAAAAAGTCCTTTGGTTTGGCTAGTCTAGTTCAGAAGTTACATCTTATCCAATATGTATGTCTGTTTTGTTTCCTTCTGTAAGTCTTTAAACTTCTAAGGCCGTATTGTTTCATGTAGTGAAGATTCCAGTTATCCATCGCATATGGCACGTCATTGGTAACATTGTATCATTGCGCATATCAGCACAAGATCATCGAACTGATTACAGTAGTTCCTTTGTGAAATTGTAATAGAGGAGACTTTGATTTTGCACGTAGGTGAAGGAATTTGTGATAACAGTGCAACAGGAGGAGGAGATGGAGTTCTATGGAGGAATGATAAAAACACCAAAGGTTCTTGCAGACATTGTGGAGTCGGTAATGGGGGCTGTATATTTGGATTGTGGCTTTGATGTGAATGCTGTCTGGGTGGTCAGTTTCTTTTTTACTATTTAAGGTTGTAGTGGCCAAGGATCTTATGGAAACTCTCTTTTCTTTATCCTTTCTGGATTTAGAGTACCAATGTATCTATCAACTACGCCTTAATCCCAACTAGTTAGGTTGGCTATACGGATTCTCTATATTTGTTCCTCTGGATTTTGATTTTAACTTGAAAATGTGGTTTATGTGGAATCAAAGAGTTGAGTCTCGCAGGCTTATTGGCTATTAGTAAGTGCTTATAATTTACAGCCTCAGTGCTAGTATACAATGGGTTTTAACTGTTATTTATTGAACCTGTTTTCATGTAAACTGTAAAGCTAGTTATCCTTGTAAACTTTGCATAAAACTAACTCAAGCTGTACCCCTGTTTAATGTTTTGGACTTTTGGTGACTTTTGCTGCAAGCCGAGTGATGTCTTAGTAGTCATTAACTCATTATGTATGCTTGTTAATTTTCAGAGGCAAAACTTTTTTCCTCTAGTAATGTTTTTAATGTGTTATTCTCCAATTGATGAAAGAAATGATTAACATGTATTCCTAAAACAAAAAATTCAATTGTGATTCTTTTTGGTATTTTACTGAAACTCTTCTTGCAATTAAATTGTGTGCTTGTCCTAGGAATGTCACTTTTAAGCACATGTGATTTTTGCTAGCTTTTTCGGCGCAATTTGATATATGTAATAGATTTCATGCTGGACATGATTAGGGATTTGAACAATTTTAATTTTGACACACTAGGTTAGTGCTTCCACAATCCTTTTATAATATTACCCTTATAGAAAAAGGCTGTGTGTGAGAGAGAGAGAGAGATAGAAGGTTACAATTTGAAATTTGAATTTCTTTTACATGAAGAAGAATCTCATAATTGGGTTTCGTATCATTGAAAATCAAACTTGGAAGGGAAGAAATGATGAGGTATTACAATTGCAGAAAATTGGTGAGTGATTCAATGAGAAAGCCCATGAGAGCCAATTTGCCCACACAGACACCTGTAGGCAGATGTAGCATTTCTTTCTTTGCTCCAATGATTGATTTATTTCAGAGATTTCATCAATGTCTTATGAATACAATTATTTTCTTGAGCTATAAATAGGACATTCTTGTTTTACAAAGAGAAATGACGTCCTGATGTTTAGATTATCTAGTTGCCGTTTTTGGTTTAGATCTTCAGAGGCCTACTAGAGCCTATTATTATGCTGAATACGTTGGAAGAACAACCACAGCCTGTAACAATGTTGTTTGGACTTTGCAAAAAGGATGGAAAACAAGTTGATGTAGAACATCGGAAAGAGGGAGATAAAAACATAGCTAGCGTCTATCTTGATGGACAATTTATTGCATCAGCTTCGTCTGAGCACAAAGAAAATGCAAAGCTTCAAGTGGCAAAAGCTGCTCTAAAAGAGTTGTTCTATAACCCTTGTGATAAGATGGATGTTGAATTTGTTCCATTCCAGAGAAAAAAGAGGGATGTTGAATCTATAACATTTCAGAAAAAAAAAGATGGATGTTGAATTTGACCCAACAAAAGAGTGTGAAGGAGCGCCCCCAAGGCCTAGCTCAAGTGGCAAAAGGTGGAGGATTTGTGGCTTAGGTCACAGGTTCAAGCCCCACACCATGCAAAGCGAAGCCCGGTATTTAAGTGGAGAAGGGTAGAGGGGCGGGCCCATTATCCACCGAGTTTAGAAGGCTGTGATTGGTCCAAAGGGCGGGTCACAGACGGATTTCTCGGTTATCAAAAAAAAAAAAAAAAAAGAGTGTGAAGGAGCAAAGCAGAAGCTGAATGAGCTTTGCCAGAGAGAGAAATGGCCCAAACCAACTTACAGGTTAGTCTTTTTCTTTTGAGTGTAGTTGTTCTCATGAGTGACTTAGTGCCATTTTTGTCAGATATCTGTTTGGTGGATAAAGTTGTTACTTTTTTCGCTTGTACTCAATCTATGGCTGCAAGCACAAATTGTTTTATCAAGTCTAACATGCGTAACATGTTGTATCAGGGAATCCTAGTATTATGTTCTTAATCCTGGCTGTATATCTCCTTGTCAATCCATAAAGGAAAGTAGGTAACATATGATCAAACATTGATTCAATACTGAGCAGTGAAACTACCAATGTTTCTCTACTCAGTAGTAGCTTTAAGGTTTGACTGCACAGAATTACATAGGATTTTATAATTATATGGGAGTACAAAGACAAAATTAGAACTATATCATTCATTGACATACTAACATACATTGCTGACTTATACTCTTTGAACAGACAACAGTAAAATGAACTTATTCAAGTATTATGTTTTAAAAATATTTTGAAATGTCTGACGTTTGAGGTTTCATATTTTAAGATTTTATTTTCTCTTGAGAGCACTCCATATAAAATGGTTGTTCTGGACTAGCAACATGGTTAATGCATGTGTTCCATTTGGGATAGATTTTCTTATGGTAATTCTTTCTGGATTTGTTTGTCTCAATATCCAGTTGCTGCCAATTTTTTTCTGTTTCTGTTGCAGTCACATTAAATGTATGAATTTGGTTCCGTTATTGTTTGCTTTCTGATGTTTGCAGAGTAGAGAAAGAGATAGGTCCTGCTCATGATAGGAGGTTTATATGCTCTGTGCATATTATAATTGCTGAAGGCATGCTTTTTGTGATGGGGGATGAAAAGTCACGAGTAAAAGATGCAGAGAATTCTGCAGCTTTAGCAACTATCCGGAGTTTGCAGGAATCAAAGTTCAGTTGATTTATACATAGTTCCACATTCCAATTCCAGGATGAAGCAGGTAGCAGGGTTCGTTTCAACTTGGAAGTATATCTTACTCAGGTTCTCTCTTGATTTATGCTATAATCATATTTCGTGCAATAATCTCATTAACCACCGATGTTTGACTTTTTCATTCTTTAACAAATTCCATATAGAAAAAATGAACCTTGAGCCTAGAGCAACCCCAAAAGTAGGTCATAAGGTGAGGATTTCCTAATACCATGTAAGGAGACTAATTTTTTTTCCCACAATCAATTTGGGACTCATAACACTATATGTGCAGGAATGTTTCTCAGACTCTTCAAAAATATCGACCGAGTGCATGGCAAATACTTCAAAAGTAGTGCATTTTTGGAGGATCCGACACGGGTGCGACAATATTTTTGGATGATCCGAGCAACATAGGGATTCACCTATTAAGTGCACAAGTAAGACATGATCATTCCATATCTTACGACTTAGTTGATTAATACCTATATATCTATGTTCCATGTCTATAAGTGCATTGATCTAAAGTAGGAAAAATGTTTTCAACTTTTACGCTGAAAAGAACATTGAGAAACATGTGAGATACCCTTGAGAAATGTGACGAGAGCATTCTGAGCAAATTGTTTTAAGGTGCATGAGTCCAAGCATAGGTGGGGCTATCACTGATATGATGATATGCACAAATTACATTTGAAAATGACTAGTAAATTTTATTATGATCACCTCATTGATTTTATATGTATATATATATATAGTTAAACGACCCAACTGGGCCCATTTCATAAACTAAAATAAGATCTGTACAAAAATAATGACTTAGCCCAAAGTGCTAAATACACAAATAAAACAAGCGAAAGAAAGAAAAAAAAAAAAACAACTATGGTAAAGGTCTAATTAGGGAAGTGGACAGAGGAAAGGACTCTCAATCCTTGTAGAGTCCGCTGGAAGTCTCCATCTCCACACCGTTTCCAAATTGCATCTCTATCATCGGTGCTCCATTAAGCTAGCTCGAGATTCCAAAAAAAAGGAATTGAAAATCGACATAAAGCAAGTTCAATCATCTTTGTGCACTTAGTATTCTGAAGACGCACAAGTGGAGGAACACTTGCACGGGCTTGAATCTCATCCTCAGGACATTGAAATCAGTAATCTCTGAGTTCTAGACTTCGCTGCTGCTAAGGTTAAAGTCGTTCTTCCAATGCAGATCTACAAGCCAAGACGTAACCCATCTGAAGCTTAATGCGTACAACCATAAGTAAGTTTTGTACCTCCTCTCCTTAAATCTAAACTCTATCACTGATTATATCAAATCATATCTGGTTAATGGAAAACAATTGGAAAGACTATCATTTTTTTTTTGCAGATGATGATTTACTCGGATTCCCCTTCTAGACTTCAGTTTCAAAAACTATCATTTTAATTAGATTTGATGCCGAAGAAATTAAACTCCAAGTCAATCTCAAAAAAACGAAGAATATACCATTCAACTCAATCTCACAAATCTTCCCTTTTTGTCTTCAATTACATCAGAAAATGACTTATACATTTCATTAATGATCCTCTTCATTGATTATCAATAAATTCCATTGTCAAAATATATAGTTTCTTAGAATAGATCGAAGATCAAATCTAATCACTATTAATAGATAAATGATACAAAAACTATTATTTATTTTTAATTAGGTTTTATTCCAAAAAAACTAAGACCAAATCAATCTTGAAAATTACTATGAAATGCTCCTAGCATGCACAAGCACGTGAATGGTAGGTTTTGTTCATTGATGGTGTCGATGTTTTAGATAAAACAATAAATTTTCTTTATCAAAGTAATCAAACGGTGAATTTTGTCGTTGTACAGTTTGGGAACAGAAGAAAAAGGAAGAGAAAATAAAGTAGGTAAAGCGAAAGGAAGAAAAAGATAAAAGCATTCGATTAAGGCTTTAGAATGGCAAACTTACCTCAGTCTCTCTCAGTCGGTGTCAGCAGTTTCAGAGGAAGAGATGGTATGTCATCATCGTCTTCTAGTGCCGGAGCACCGGTCAATAAGGATCGCAAAATGCAATCTGCTGAACAGCTTGTGCTTGATCTCTGCAACCCTAATCTTCGTGAAAATGCTCTTCTAGAACTTTCCAAGGTTTATTCATCTTCGTTTATTTTCTTATCGTTTTATGCTTTATATCGATTCATTGGGGTATGATTTTATAAATTTCAATTCTTGATCATGGTGAAGTTCTGTAAAATTGAGGGTTTTGATGACTATTAAATGCTTGTCACTTGAGAGAGTTGAATTGTAATTAGATTAACCGAAAGTTGAGATGGAAAATGATGTTGTCGACTGTCGGATTTACCTATCAGATGCTTTTTGAGAATAGTAGGAGAAAAAAGAGATTCAGTTCCATGTACCTATTATAATCTGAATATTTCATGTTATCTCATCTGGGATTGATCTATTTCATTATGAAGAAGCTTCAATTCTTGGACAGAAAAAAAAAAAGAACAATCTCAATGTCGAAATTGTAGCTTCACAATTAGCAAGTAGAAAACTTTATGAATGATGTATAGTTAATAAATTGTGAATGCCATCTTACTTCTACCATCCCTCCTCTAGCGAAATAGTGACCACACACATGCTTATACAAACAATATTCTTTCTTTTCTACTGCTATGTGTTAATGAAACCTAACAGACAACTGGTTTTCAACTCCAGTGTTCTACCTAAGGTTGCATAACTGATTATCTAGAGCAACAGTGATATTCTAATTGATAAAATTGGACTAATGGGACTTTTTAACTCCGGCGTCTCCCTCTGGCTGCATAATTATAATTTCTTCTTTTTGAGAAATTGTTGCACAATTGATGTCTGCCTTAATACTCCTATTTTGCTGCTGACCCCTCTTCAACAATGTCCTCATATTTGTGTGTATTAGTATATGTGGAACACCAACTAATTTGGCGTTTTGGGTTGAGTATCATTTTGTTGTTCTGCCAAATACTCTTAAGATTTGCCTAAAAACACTTGTTGTCTTTGTTTTCCTTTTCCAGAAGAGGGAACTCTTCCAGGATTTGCCCCCCTTATTATGGCACTCGTTTGGTACTATCTCTGTATTTCTACAGGTATTTTGAGAAGTGCTTCATTATTATTTAGAGTTTATTTGTTTCTCATATGCACATGAATGCTAAAGTACCACTCCACACTGTAATTCTAGCATTTCTTCTGTCTGTTCATACACACATTTCTTCAGTGATTACTTATTACCCATTCTTAACACTGCACCATTTACCCCCCCCCCCCCAAAAAAAAAAACAACCCCCC